CACAGCATGTGGGATCTTCCCAGAACAGGGCTTGAACCCGTGTCCTCTGCATTAGCAGGCAGATTCTCAACCACTGTGCCACCAGGGAAGCCCTTTTAATTTTATTTTATTTAAAAAATTATTTTTATTTTTATTTTTGGTGGTGTTGGGTCCTCGTTGCTGCACGCGGGTTGTCTCTAGTTGTGGTGAGGGGGCTACTCATTGTGGTGGCTTCTCGTTGCGGAGCACAGGCTCTAGGTGTGCGGGCTTCAGTAGTTGTGGCACGCTGGCTCAGTAGTTGTGGCGTGCGGGCTCTAGAGCGCAGCCTCAGTAGTTGTGGCGCACGGGCTTAGCTGCTCCGTGGCACGTAGGATCTTCCCCGACCAGGGTTTGAACCTGTGTCCCCTGCATTGGCAGGCAGATTCTTAACCACTGTGCCACCAGGGAAGCCCCGTGATTTTTGATGATAGTTCTATTCTTTTAAATTTTTCATTGTCTAAATGCCAGTTCTTGCCATTGTGATTGTTTAATGCTTTTAGGATGTTAATGGCATGGGAATCATTTCTTGTTCAGAAGCCAATAGAAATTTATACAAATAGGTAAATGAAATTAACTTGTAAATTTGAAAAAATGAGTTTCAGATGCTGTTGTGGTGATTTCTGTGTTTGGTTAGATTGAACTTGAGAGATTTTATTCCTTTTCACCCGGTAACAAGAGATTGTACAAGAAAATAAGATTTGCTGTTGTTACCATTATTTTTAGAGCTTGTTGCTGTTTTAGCTCTATAGGGTACACGTTAGAATTCAGTTAGCTGTGTTTTATGGAGCAACAATTTATCAAATCCTAATTAGGTAAAGAGTATAATTTTGTATGTGATATTTGCTGGTGCTAATAGTGGCAATGCAGCAATAACTTCATTGATTTCCACTGGTGAGATGTTATTAGACTTGCAAGTAAATGGCTCTTTTGTTGCTTCATTTCTCTTTGAGTAGTTCATTATAAAGAACAATCAAAGAATTTTAAATCACATTATTCTGTTTTGGAGCTAGATGGGTGTTTTTCTAAATCAGTTTCTAATTTTTACAGGTTCATTTTCAATTCAGAGTTTTAAAAGTTTGAAGGTAGAAAAGATTTGATACTTAGCCTATTAATTGCCCTCATACAACTCAGAAGAACTACAACTAGGGGGTCACATATGATAAAATCTCTTGTGGTCCTGGGTCCGTACGTAAGAAATTTATAAGAAAGAATTGTGAGGAACAGAAATGTGTTGCTGTGTGCGTGTGTGTGTGTGTTTTGTCACTGTCCAAAAATTAAGGCTCTGAGGCCTAACCTTGGGCTTTACTTCTTGTGTGAGAATCCAGTCACCCCCTCCCTGACTCTGAGTTCTCAGTACTCCTGCTATTCCCATAGCTACACAGTCTCTTCTGGTCCGGTCCAGGCAAGGCTGCAGAGGATCTGTGAGCCTCTACAGGTATTATATTTTAAAAAATTTTATATCTGTAAATGACATCTAGTAATTTTTTTCTTCATTAAAAAAAAAATCTCAGGCAAAACTTTGTCTCCCCTTTCCATCCTTTTCTTCCAACTCTGTTTCCCAGAGGCAAACACTCTGAATTATTTCTTCATAGTAGCAACTTTTTTGCTCACTGATTGCCTCCAGCACCTTGATTAGTGCCTGTTTTTGGTGCCTAATACAGTTGACCCTTGAGTAATGCAGGGGTTAGGGACACCAACCCCCTGCACAGTTGAAAATCTTCATAAAACTTTTGACTCCCCCCAAAACTTAACTGATAGCCTACTGTTGACTGGAAGCCTTATACGTAACATAAACAGTTGATTAACACATATTTTGTATGTCATGCAGAATATATACTGTATTCTTAAAGTAAGCCAGAGAAAAGAAAATGTTAGGAAAATCACAAGGAAGAGAAAATACACTTACAGTACTATGCTGTATTTATCGATACCATAAATCTAATTATAAGATGAATCGTCTGTCAGTACCTACATCAGTATTGTCTTATACAATACAAAACACTGTAGATGTTATATGTGTTACTAACACTAGACATTAAAAAGGACAAAAAAATGTGAAAAGGAAGTTCATATTTATTTACAGGTATAGTGATCCGTGCTATAGTGATCTTCATTGATAATGAAGAATCAGCAGTATGATTCTTTTTTTTAAAATAAATAAACTTATTTATTTATTTATTTATTTATTTATTTTTGGCTCTGTTGGGTCTTTGTTGTTGCACGCGGGCGTTCTCTAGTTGCGGTAAGCGGGGGCTATCTCTGTTGTGGTGCGCGGGCTTCTCATTGCAGTGGCTTCTCTTGTTGCGGAGCACAGGCTCTGGCGCACAGGCTTCAGTAGTTGTGGCACATGGGCTCAGTAGTTGTGGCTCTCAGGCTCTAGAGCGCAGGCTCAGTAGTTGTGGTGCACGGGCTTAGTTGCTCAGCGGCATGTGGGATCTTCCCAGACCAGGGCTCGAACCCGTGTCCCCTCCATTGGCAGGCGGATTCTTAACCACTGCGCCACCAAGGAAGCCCAGCAATATGATTCTTCATGGTAGCCTAGTGTAATTGATATGATTACTTCACAGTAGCCTAGCCTATATGACAGTGAATGAATCATTTTAAAAGTTTTATGGCATAGAGTATTACAGTTATATTCATAATACACTATTGGAAACATTGATACAATTAAAAAAAAAACACCCACCTACCTGTGATAATATGCTGATAAGCAGTTTTTCCAGTTACTAGAGAGAGAGGCAATATAATATAATGAATGGTAATGTAATTCTTTGAAAGGAAAATTATAAAACAGTAAGAAAACTAACACAGTAGTTTTTATTAAATATCATTCACCTTATGCCTATATAATGATAGACTACTATCACATGTTTTATGAATTCATGACATACCTTTTTTTTTTCAATAAACATTTAAGTGAAAAATCCCTTTTTAAAAAAATTTTATTTATTTATTTTTGGCTGCGTTGGGTCTTTGTTGCTGTATGTGGGCTTTCTCTAGTTGTGGCAAGCAGGGGCTACTCTTCCTTGTGGTGTGCGGGCTTCTCATTGTGGAGGCTTCTCTTGTTGCGGAGCATGGGCTCTAGGCGTGTGGGCTTCAGTACTTGTGGCTCGCGGGCTCTAGAGCACAGGCTCAGTAGTTGTGGTGCACAGGCTTAGTTGCTCCACGGCATGTGGGATCTTCCCGGACCAGAGATGGAACCCATGTCCCCTGCATTGGCAGGCGGATTCTTAACCACTGTGCCACGAGGGAAGTCCCAACATACCTTTCTCTTAATCTTTTTGATATTTCTAAGCTACGTGGTTTATCTGTGAATTCTTTTCCTTTCTTTCTTTTTTTTTGGGGGGGGGGGCCGTGTAGCATGTGGGATCTCAGTTTCCTGACCAGAGTTCGAACTTGCACCCCCTCCATTAGAAGCACGGAGTCTTAACTACTGGACTGGCAGGGAAGTCCGCATCTGTGAAGCTTTTCAAATTGTTGCAAACCTCTAAAAAATTTTCCAGTGTACTGTATTTATTGAAAAAATTCACATATAAGTGGACCCGTGCAGTTCAAACTCACATTGTTCAAGGGTGAACTGTAAATCTTGGTTGAATGAATGCAAAAAGTTTGTCCTTATTCTCTTTTAAGACTTGATTGTTGACTATGCAATTCTAAGTTGAATGTCATTTTTCTTCTTGGATGGCATTGCTGTGCTGTCTTAGCACAGAGTGTTGCTGTTCATCTGTGATTCCATTTGGATTCTGGTTTCTTTGCTTGTGCCTACACTTCTTTCCTGTAAATGGTTGCAATCTTCTCATGCTGTCACTTAAAAAAGAGTTAAGTATGACACGAATTCAATAGGGATACTCAGTCTCACTGGACACTTAGTAAGGGGAAATTTTCTTGAATCATCTCTTTGATAGATCTTCCCTCATCCCCCCACAAAACAAACAAACAAAGAGGTGAAAGAATCTGTTTTCTCTGTTGTTCCTTTATGGAACTTTTGTTAGTGGGATATTGGACCTCATGCATTCTTCTTTACTATTTTAATCTTTTGGTTTTCAGTTATCTCTTTGTTTTAATTTCTAGGAGATTTCATTAGCATTATCCTCTAATCCTTCTATTAGTTTTTTATTTGTGTTATCAAATTTGAAATGTGTTACGCTATTTGTTTCTGATTGTACTCTTTTTAACTGGAGTATTCTGGGATTAAGTTATTGTATTATAGATAGACTTTCAACCCCTTTCTCCTGCTTTTTTGCTCTCACCCTACTTTCTTTCTCATAGTACTTGGTAGCTTCAAGGGATAAGTCAGTACTCGCCCTGTGCCCACCTTCTCCGTGGCATCCCTCTCTGTACGCACATAGATTTTCACTTCCTTCTCTTGACTAAGTGTGTACTTTTCCTTTTTTTAAATCTATTTTCCATCTTTTGTTGTTGTTGTTGAAAATCTTTCTTCCATTGTTGCTTCTTTTTTTTTTAAATTTTTTAAAAATTTTTTGCGGTTCGCGGGCCTGTCACTGTTGTGGCCTCTCCCGTTGTGGAGCACAGGCTCCAGACGCGCAGGCTCAGCAGCCATGGTTCACGAGCCCAGCCGCTCCGCGGCATGTGGGATCCTCCCAGACCGGGGCACGAACCCGTGTCCCCTGCATCGGCAGGCGGACTTTCAACCACTGCGCCACCAGGGAAACCCTGTTGCTTCATTTTTTATTGTCATTGAAGTGTTTATACATTTTCATTGACATTTTGGTGTAGTTTCATGGCGGAAGAGGAGGTAGATGCATATGTTCCATCTGCCATCTTAAAATTGGAGTTCTTCCTTTGAGGCTGGCTAACTTAATTTTATGGTTGTAATTCACATGACAAGTTAAATGTGTAAATTTAAAATCAGTTCGTTTGAAAAAAACATTGAATGAAAGAAAGGCTGATTCAGTCTATCTTAATAACCAAATAGGTAATGTACTTTGTAATAATGCATTTTTTGAATTTTGTTTGTGTAGAAGAAATTGAGGAAGAATCTGAAACAACAATTGAGGCTGACTTGACGGATAAACAGAAACATCAGTTGAAACATAGGGAGCTCTTTTTGTCTCGCCAATACGAATCTCTGCCTGCAACACATATCAGGTAAGAACTTTTTAGAAGTTGATCTGAAGTGCTTAGTAATATTGTGACAATTGGGAAAAACAAACAAACTAAAACAACCTTTTTGAAGCATTTTCCAAACTCTCCCCAACAATCTTGCTCTAATTAGTTCACTAAAGCCTTCATTATGTAATCTTATCTTGGAAATTTATAGTGTATATTAGCATTTTAAAGCCCTGCAAATGTTCTGTAGTAAAGTAACCATGTTAGCTTTGTTTTAATCTAGACTTTTCCAATTTATTTAAGTATGTATTAGCATCTTGCAGAACAGTGTCCAGCAGATAGCATTTTGGGAAATGCTGGTCTTCTCCAGATTCCCAGAAAATAATGTAGTCATTGGAGTCCAAGAACTAGAACCTGGTTCTAGATCTGGTTCCCGGTACTTGTCTCTTGACCTTGTAGGATACAAGGCTTTTGATTGATTGATTGATTTTTGAGGTCCTCTGGGATGAAAACTTTATATTCTTTATTACTCACTCACTTGCATCTGATCTGTGTAATGATGGGATGTAAAAGTGAAATCCAGTCCCTGGTTTGTAGTTTTGGGAGAATGGTGGTGGTCTTTTTGATCCGGTAGTGGTAAGATTTAAGCATAGATACAATTGAGCTCTTTCTGAGTGCTGTCTGTAATAGGTGCATTTTGGAGGTATAACAAAATGTTTGAACTCAAAAACTTCAGAAGGGGTTGGCATTTACTCAGCCTTCGAGAGATTAGGGGGCATGTTTCAGGTAAAGGGAACAGGTAAGCATGGGTGTGTGCAGGGAACAGCCTGTGTCCCGGATGCAGTGTTTTTGTCCCCTAACGTTAAAGGAATTCCTTCAACTGTTGTTCACAATCTTTACTTCTTTTATTCAGCTCCTCACTAGTTATTATTGTCTTAAAAACTGTTTATATATGGAAATAAAATGTATTAACTGTTAATTTTTTAAAAAATTGGCCCCTCTTTTTTAGCCGTGAATGTCGGTATTGTATCTAAGTCTGTCTGTTTTGGGCTCAGACATGTTTGGAGACTTCCTGAAGCTCCAGTTTGGTCTTTGTAACACAAACACACATGCCCCAACTCCCCGGACCTTTGTGTATTCTTATACTTCTCTTTTCAGAAAGGGACACAGAGATCTTCTAAGACAGGAAGTGTATCACAAAGATACCAGAATCACCTTTCTCCAAATCTTTTCAGAGATAACTTGATCCTCCTCAGTAGTTAACATCATATCATTGCTTTATTTAGGTTTTTTGGGGGACACTGTGTTTATTTTTTAGTTTCAGAATTGCCTTTAGTAGTATAAAATTGAAAGTAAATGTCCATTATTAGGGAATTGGTTAAATGAATTATGATACAACAACTACAACAGAATATTAGATTTCTGTTGTTATAGAAAAATTCTATTGTATGTTGATAACTAGAAAATAATCAAATTCAAGAAAGTATGTAAAAATGGGGACACTGTGTTTAGGTTGGCTAGAGTTAGTATGTTCTGTGTGACTTAGGTCCTGTGTTAGAAAAGATCATCAGGCCAGATAATGTGGGAATAGAATTTAACTAAAAATAGGGGTATTTCAAGAAATAAGGAAATTGTTTTAAAGATATAGGTAACTAATAAATGCTGAAGAGCCATATGCATTTATCATTTAATTGGAAGAAGCTAGAATATAAAGATTCATTTTAAGCTCAAGAAGTTATGTGGCCAGTCATAAGACTCTTGCCAGAACAAGAATCTGACAAATGGTTTTAAAAATGTATCCAAAACACGCAAGTATATTTTTAATTTACCCTCCTGATAGCTTGGAATCTGTTTATAAGTAATGTTGGTTTCCTTTAACAGATTGCTTGGAATGGAAAAGCTAGTGAAGTATTTTTCATGTGTCATAAGGACTGAGAGAGTATATTGAAATGTAATTATCAAGACACCCCTTTGTTGAACATAGAAATTACATAGAATATACGATCATTCAGTCATGTTGAACACATTTCCTGAGTATATGCTCAATTAGGGAGCTTGCCAACTGCTTGATAAATAAGACAAGGTTCCCCAGCTTGTAAACTTAAGGAGTTTACCTGGTGGCAATTCTTTTGAATTATGAGGAAGAGATATACATTTGAAGCATTTGTTTCTTTAACTTTTTTGTTCTCCAAGCTGAGAGGGAGTAGTGTGGAGGCATATTTTCTCATTTATGGCTCTCATTTTCAAACAGCTGAATGGATTTCGGGGCAGTCTCCAGCCAAAGCACAAAGCTGTGCTAACCAGCCCTCATGCTGACATAGAACAAGTGCACACTGGAGTGATCTTGACACTTTGCTAACGTTGTAGTCATGCCCTGTTTATCTGTGCTTTAACAGGAGAAAATGACTGAAGTCCCATTGCTCTTTGGCAGCAAAGAGGGGTAATTTGATGAATACTGGCTTTTTATTCTTAGGGGCATTATTAAGTGACCAGAATTTCCTTGGTGCTGTATGGAACAGAGGAGAAAACCTGACTGAGGCATTCCT